CCCATGATGCATGTTAAAGGGATGAATTAAAATTGTCTAGAAATAATCATGCCAAAGTCGATAGGGTGCTGCCGATCTCCATCTCTTTCTTCAACACACACTAAGATCAGATACCTCTTCCCCAGGTGAACATCTAAAAAAATTCAGATGACCCTTGCTTCTCATGCCTTTCCCCTTAGGTCCCTTTTGAGAAACTTCCTATACTAAAAGACAGCATAGGAGCTGACCTGCTTTGGGGAAAATGCCCATGAACTGAGACACCTGTGACCGGGTTTAGGCTAGAACAGGTGGGCTGGGTTGCTGTGAGCTGGGTCAGGGATGGCATGAAACCAAGCCTCCAACACAGTCCAGTCTCCCTGGATTTTTGGCAGCACTTACAGAAATCTGTTTAAGAGAAGGATGCCAGTCAAGAGGCCAAGAGGCATGTGGCTCATCTGCCAGGGCAGCACATTTTTCTAGATAGCATTGACCCTAGAAGAGCAACACAGCCTGTAGCACAGGAATGAAACATGGAGCCAGGACTTAAGACACCAGCACTATGGGCCCATCTCTGCTGTTGTCACTTGGGGCAAGAAGTCACTTGATTTCACCAATCCCTGCTCAGCTTTTAGGGAGGGAAGGAGGCAGACACTTCATCACGGGGCCATCAGGCTCCCTTTTTACATCTCATTCTGGGCACAACCCTCAACTTGTCTCTGGCTCTGTCATAGGTGCATTCAGAGCTGAAGTCACTTACCAGGTAAGTCAGTAGAGCGTTGCCATAGTACTGGAGCTTCCCAGGACAAAGGGTTACTGAGGAAACACACTGAAGTAGTGATCTGGAAGGACCCCACCCTTCCGGGACTTCGAGCATGTTCATCCTTGAGGGTGAAGGACATAACAGCGAAAGACACTTTTCTTGGTGAACCCCACAGGAGTTAGGAAATTCAGCACAGGAGGCCACAGAAGGCACAGGGCAGGTGGGTCTTAGACAGGTGCTGGAGATGGGATCAAAGGCATCCTGAAGGTGGCTCACCACCCACCCAAGGTCTACAGGATCTCCTCATATGCTTCAAACATTTACCAGCCGCTCAAATATCACTTATTCACATTTATGTGAAGAAGCTCATGATAGTAGCTGCCTATGGCTGGGGCTATTTGGTTTTCTTGTTGAAATGGGCTTGGAGCCAAGAGCACAAGATCAAACCAGATCCCAGGGAAGGCAGATTTCAAGCCCACTAGCTAATAGGTTGAGGTCCACAACAAAGCTCAGTTTAAGTTCAAGGAGCCCTTGGAAAAGGGATTCATGGCCTCCAATGTAACCACACATGCCTCTCCTCTGAGAGCAGCATCCATAATGGTGATAACTGCCCATTTCTTTCTGTGCCCTGAAACCTAAAATAAGTTTACCATTGAGGAGAAACAAAGCAATAAGCATCACTGACAAAAGTTTTTTTTTTTTTAAATATATCTTTATTTCTCAAACTCAAAGCTTTATTTCATCAAGTTCTAACACATTTGCATTGACAAGTGATCTCAATCTGCATCAAGAAGGTGAGAGATCATGACCAAAGAGGAAAAGGACACACAGCCTAGGCACAGCTAAGAAAAAACTTCAAGGCTGTGCAAACATATAACAAAAGGGCTTCCAACTTAGTCAGCTGGACATCTTACTTTTAATCCATTAATTTTGATATATTTTTATGCTGCTTTAGGAAAATTAAATTCTCATCCACAAAAAAAAAAAAAAGAAAAAGAAAAAGAAAACAACAGATCAGATATAGCTCGAGTTGGAGTTTTTAAAAATGGCCACAGATCCAGGTTATTTACTTCCTCTTTAGTAGATGGTCATCTCACCTTCTTATGTGCGCGCGTACACACACACACACACACACACACACACACAAAGAATTTGTACCAACTCTCAATAATAGCCCAGGCAAAACTCCAAGCATTTTCTTTAGCTTACACTTAAACTATATATATGTATTTAAAAAGTGATAGGTAAACAAGATGTAGGCACCTGAACTCACAAAAAGGGCCCTTTCTTTCCTTAGAGATCTCCACAAATAATCCCAAAAAGTTGCCAGGTATTTTTCAAATTCCTCTCTTCAACACCCCTCTTTTGGTCCTCTGAATTCAATTGATTGAAATAAGAATATGTTCCAAAGTCAGCTGTGAAGTTCTATTCTTTGCCAGGTTAAGGATCTGAATCTAACCTTGGAAAATGGAAATTCCTCCAACTCACAGAATCCATCCAAAGAGTCTTCCCTAGTGCAGAGCCCCAAATCTGATGCCAGCAAGTAATGGCCGTGGTGAACATCAGGGTCTCTTCTCAGATTAGATCACTGTACTTTAAGCCACACTCCAGAAGAGGATGTTTGAGCTAAGAACACAGTAGCATTCTAAAACCAGGCACCAGGACCAGAAAGTTCACTAGTAAGAAGTTATTCCTAAAGTTAGGAAGTTGCTTGTGAGTGGTACTATTTCCCGCAGCTAAGCAGTGCTGGTTGAAAGCCTGACCTACCATGAAGGTCAGGGGCTAGGAGCAGAGGTGAGGCTGAAGGACAAGCAGGGCCAGGCCTTGAGCAATCTGATGTTGAACATGTCTCCACAAAACACAGGTTCACACCGAGCTTGCTGCGACTCCAATCCCCAATGTGAATCAAACTGCGGGGGGCTGGGGACTGAGTGCCAAACCAGCGTGTACCATATATCAGGAACCCAGCATCATCTTTCCCCCCCAACTCTCCCACCTGCCAGGCCCCCAGGTGTGGCTATGCTACATCACACATGCAGTCATCAGGCACTCTGATCTGAAGGTGGTAGTAGTGATAAAAGTGTTTCGTTTCAGCATTGAAATTATTGAGTGGGAAATAGTGTCTCATTGCCAAGGTAAGGTTCAAGAGTGAGACTGAAACTCGAGACCAGGGAGCTAGTGAGTGCCCTTCATCTGTCCCCAGGGGAAAAGGTACATTTTCACCCTGCTCCACTTTACTTCAAGGAGGAGCTGAGAGAACGGGCATCAGAAAGCAGTTCAGAGTTCTGAGGCAAATGAAAGACTGCTTAGATTTAGATTAGAGCTTGCTCTTGAACTCTAGTGCCCCCTGCCACTGCTAAGTTTCATGCTACTCCACACACACACACACACACACACACACACACACACACAAATAGGAACCACTGGACTCAGTACTAAGTTCAGGGTATCTGGTGCATGTGCGAGCAGTATGAAAAGCAGATGGAATTTCCAGACATCTGAAAGTCAAGGTTACCTGGCTGGCAAAAGGCTCAGAGAGCAGATGGAGACACCGGGAGTCCAGGGGTTGCGCTTTAAAAGTACAGCCGGGATCCATGAAGCTTTTTACCCTGATGGTTCTACAACATGTCTCTGTTTTCAAACTACAAAAATACAACTGGACTGACTAAAAAAGTCAGGTGAAAAGACCAGCAAGACCCCGCCATACAATGGCGATGAAGGGCTGGGCAGGGGGACGGGGGAGATTTCTCTCGACTCCTGTGCCTGTCTTTGTCCTCAAGGAAGGACTGTTACAGATTGGAAAATATGTATACAAAGCAGAAAAACCTCCAAGGACAAACTGGAAATTTAATTAATTGATGCAGATCCTATCTTCCTCCGGGGCCTCGCCGGTTCCCGACCCTCCTAAGCCGAAGCAATACTGATTTCTCTCAGCCAAGTGCTGATGTTGGTGGCGGCTTCATCACACTCCAAAAGCTTTGGTTAAACAAGTTTGTCATGTTTTGTGCAAATATGTTGTCATCTGACCACAATGGCAGCATTTTAAGGTCATGAATGACCGGGTAGTTTTCAAAGTCAGGATCGCTGCCCACCTTTTAACACTGAAGCACCCCAGGTCCTCGGTCCCCCTCCTGGAGCTTCACTCGAAGCCAGTGAATTCAAATATAACTAAGGTTCCCAGGAAAACAGAAGCTGGTTCCACTAAGAAGTGGCTTCTTTTCACCTAATGTAGCACAACATGGGTCCCAGCTAAGCCTGGGGTTTCAGTCATGTCAATCTTGTCTTCCTTAAGAGGACCAAGAGATCACATTCCAGAAGAAACCTGAAGACACCTCTTTAGAAAAAGGTCAACCACTCGTTTTTCTACTACGCATTTCTGCACTAAGATAACTTCATTGCTTAAAGCAAGGAGAAAGCAATCATTTAGGGCATCGCATTGTTACAGCCACAGGAGAAAATATAAATCAGGAGCAAGGGGTTGATTCAATCACTTGAGAAATCAAGCTGGTAGGCAATACTGAGTTGTCTTTTGCTCTTGATACCATAAAGTGAGGCTTTCTAAAAAAATCCCACACACACACACACACAAAATTTTTTTTAAACCATACAATCTAAAGCTACTCTGGAAAGCAATATGTAGGCTAGATCTCTCCCATTGACTAAGCTTGCTTTAGACTAGAGTTTAACACTGTTTTCCTTCTAAAGTGCAGAATATAAACAAGTATGGTCAAATCTACCAGAATAAGGAAGATAATTCTTCACTCACCCCATGCTTCCTCAAATACACTGGAATGATTTCAAACTGCCTTGAGAGCACCAAAGCATACAAGGCCAGACTTAATGCTAAACCCCCACCTTCGTGTGGCACAGGGACAGGTTAGAATCTAAGCACTTCCACAGGTCACTCAATTCTACTGAAATTCCTGAATTCATTAGCTGTCAAAGAATACCTGGAGAAGAAAATCACTTTTTTGTTTTTCAAAAGTAAAGAAAACAAACAAACAAATAGCCAAAGTACTCCAGAAAAACATGGGTTTCCAATTAAAACATGGGAAAACCCTTACATCAGTTACAACAACGAGTCCAGAAACAGCACTGACAGTACTTAGGAGGAGCAACACAAAAGTCACCCACGAGAGAGCTGAGGACGAAAAGTGTCATTCAATAAGAATTCCTTAAAGAAAAGAAAGAAAAAGGACATTCACGTTTCCTATTTACAGTCCACCACCCCCCTCACCACCACCACAATTCTACTTTAACATTATGTTCCACATTTTATTTTGTTTTCAAGTTACATTTCAAGAAAAGGTCATCTTTCTTTTTCTCAGCAATATTTCATAATTCCTCAAGATAGCACAGCATCTAAACCATAAACCACTTCCAACCAGATCTCAAGTCTCCAGCTATTGGCTTTGGTTTATTGATGAAAGAAATTCTCAGCTCTGCTGACAGGAACTAGACATATGCAATTTAGTCCTGTGAACAAAAATTAAGTCATAAGAGCACCCTCATGTTTATCGTTTTCTGCCTGACTAAAACTGACACAAGAGAGATTATCAGCACAACATAGGTTCGTGTCATTGCTGAGAATCCCGAGTGAGGGCCAACATAGCCTCCTCCAGGCTCAGCTGAGAAGAAGTAGCTTAAAACTTCTCATCTGCTGCCCAAGCACTCCCAATCCCAAGTATTGCACAGAGCTCAAAACCCCATGTGCTGACCTTTGGGATGTGACATGTTAGTGTCTATCTTGGAAAGATGTGGATAGGTCACACTTCCTATAGCATTTTCCAAAGTGGCACTGTTATATGGGTCTTTTTTTTTTTTTTTTAGGGTTGGCTCATGATATACTGCAGACCCATTCCAATGGGTACACAAAGGAAAAAAAAAAAAAGCAGAATCAGAGCTGAGTTCCCCTTTAAAAGCCAAACACCTACATCTAGGAGGAGGCTCCCCTACCTGAGAGCCCTTGCCCTACAGGGTTCCCACTGCAGGAACCCTCAGGTCTCAAGGTTAGTTACAGGGCAGCCAGGTAGGGTAAGGCTGGCTGTAGGTAACTGGAGGATGGGCAATGTAGTAGTTGTTGAAGTTGCCATCGCTGACGTAAGGAGCTGGCTGGTAGTAACAGGTGACGTTGGTGGCATTGGGGATGATGTTCTGTTCTGCCAGCACGCGCAAGGCCAGGAGAGAGATGAGGTTCAGGGTCTGCCTGCGTTCGTGGCCCATGAGGCACACGGTGCTCTCGTTCACCACCCTGCGAAGGATCATGAGGTAGTCATACTTGCTTCTCTCTTCTTCAGCGAAGTGGTTTTGAAGGTAGGTCTCCAACTTCCTTTGCTGTTCGAGGATGTCTGGGAAGTCAATGAAAAACCTGGAGCACATGTAACGCTCCAGAGTTTTGATTTCCTCCTGGTCCGTGGGCCTGAAGTCCCGCACAAGAAGGTTGCTATACTTAAGAAGCCCCCCACCTCGGATTTCTTCTGGGTTCTTGGTGGCGATCAGTCTGTTCTGCAGATGGTCAAAGGCTTCCTCAAAGTCCCCGTACATGCTCTCCCCGATCACGGTGGGGTGGAAGTGCTCAGAGATGGGGTTATTGGAGCAATCGTAGAAGAAAAGCAAAGAATCCAGGATGATTTGGAAAGAGTCCACACTAAACTCAAACTGACGCCGGATGGAGTCGACAAACTTGAGCTCCACGTTCCTCCCGTTCTTGTTGGAGAGGGAAATCAGGCTCCAGCGGTCTGTGTCCGTGCAAACCTTCACCAGCTTCTGCACATAGGCCTCCTTGAGAGTGACGGGGCTGATCTTGAGCTTGTTCACGCCCTCGGGCAGGAAGTTCAGAAGGGAACACAGAACCACATCTCTGACCAGCTGAAATTCTGCCTCGGTGGGAAGAGCCACGTGGAAGATCAGGTCCAGGTCTTTGCAACCCAAGCCGTTGTCTTTGACCAAAACGTGTCCAGCTGCAGAGCCGTTCAGCCGGACGTCCTGCACTTTGATGCCTGCCTCCTCCAGCCGGCTGCGGACGGTCTGGACGATGTCCTTCAGGGTTATCTCCAAGGTTGGAAAGTTGCCTCGTCCGTGGATGGGCACGACCTCAGTCAGGACCTCATGCAGCCGGCTGACCTGATCCCAGTTGAGCACACTGAAGGACACGCACTCCCTGGTACTGCTGCTGTCCTCGGCCATCGTCGGGGGGATGTTCTGGCCGGGGAAACTGAAAGCGAGGGGTGAGAAACAGTTAGGATTCACCTTAACACGGCACAGCATCTCAAAGCGCTCACAGATACCGATTAATGTCTGAACCTTCTCCTGTGACACTGCAATCGATCGCACCCGACTCTGTTGTTGTGAGCCACTGGGATTAACTGAATTAAAAAATATGTCAAGAATGGTACCTACACGGAATGAGGACAAATGCACAGACTCCATCCTATACCAGTCTGGACGATGCCATCACCTTGTCTGGTGTGGGTTTCTAGTTTTTGCTGCTGCTGTTTTGCTAGTTTTGTCTGTGTGGGGGTGGGAGGTGCTAGGTTTGTGTGAAGAAAAGCAAACTGAGTAAACCCAAGTAAACAAAACACAATAGTCTTTAATAAGGAGCCTGTAAGACCAAAAAAAAAAAAACAGGGTGCATGTTTGGCTAATTTTCCCTGGTTTCTGTGAAAGTTACCTCTCTTGCTTTGGGTTCCTAACCACATCTTGAACTGGTTGATATATAAACTGTACAGAACACCCACACAGAACACACACACACACACACACACACGCCCACATGCATAGAGTCTTCACCCCATGAAAAGACAGTCTCAACTCTGGATTACATCCTCACCAAAAAGTGGGAGTCTGACCATTCTCTGCTACAACAAAGCACACTTCCTTAGCAAGATTCCCATGTTCCTTTCACTTAAGGGAGCAGCCTGTCCTATAACAAATTCTTCCATCATCCAGGACAGATCTGAGGAGTTGTTTCAAGGGCAAAATTTCTGGTCAATCAAAGGTCAACTATGTATTGGAAACCATCCTTCCCCCAAGGATGCTCAGCATGGGACATGGCAAACACCCTCTGGGCAGTGGGATCATTCAACTGTATTTTGAAAAAGAGCACCTTGAAACTATGCAAAAAGAACAAAGTATTATCACTGAGTAATGTGAGACAAACATCGCTTCTCACACGGCACTTGCTAGAACCACAAAGTTTCCAAAGTAATTTTCAACTGTGTCGCACTTTTCAAAGAAAGGAGACACACACAACAGGTCCCTGGAAATCCTAATGTATACAAACCTAATATACAGAAACAAACACGCATGTGTTAAAAAGTGCCTGTGGACCCCTGTGAGGAGAAGGTTAGCTAGATGAGGAAAAAAGCTGACACAGAGGGTGTTTCCATGCACAGGGCTGTCCTCAGATTTCACCAAGAATAGCTTTCCCACCCTGCTCTTTCTGACTCCCCGCCCCCCCTCACACAAAATCCACCCCAGGGCCGTTTCATTATCTGGAAGCTGCTGCTTTTGAATGCACATCGGTGGGCATTCTCCCTGGTTCCAACATGGATTTCTGGCCTTGCCCAGGTGCCAGGGATTCCCCAGGGTTGTCACTCAGTGTCCGGGCACTGCCAGGCACACAGAGAAGAGCCCCCAGGAACTCCCCATCATGAAGTAAACGTAACATGAAGGCAGAAGAGAGAAGGTCCCTTGACTGGGGTGAACAGGAAGGCCACGAGGGAGTTCATTTCCAGGGACGGGACACAAGCCAACAAGGAAGGCAAATGAGCTTTCAGCTGGGGCTCAGGAAAGGAAAGCAGCTCGAGCTAGAAATGGCAAGTGTCCAGTGGCGCCATGAGCCACTCTTCAGGCCAGATCATGGTGGCCCTTTAGGATCTGAGTCAAGGCGCAAGGAATCCATTCAGCTGATAATGGGGAGCTTGACCACAAGAGTAGAGCAGGCTCCAGGCAGACCCTAGAGGGTTCTTGCTTGCTACAGAAGAACAAGTTTGATGCCAAGAAGATACAAGTTTACCTCAAGCTTCTTTGAACAGCTTTATAAAGCTCCAGGCTATTTAGATCCTCCTACCAAGGCGCTGCTAAGTTACAGGTACCAAGCAAAGTCTGTGATAGAAACTTAACGGCTAGTATGGCTGGAAATAGGTTTCAAGCTTGATTTAGGATGTTAGTGTTCTCTTTTCTCCATGTTCTCTGTATACTCAGTTGTGGCCCCTTTTATGATAGCATACAACACACCTGTGCCTCAAATGAGTCAAATGCTTACACGAAGGCAGGGTTCAGGCCTTGGTTTGAGACACAGCTAGACTCTCCATGATTTGGTGACATGTGTTGGAACTACAGAAATACCGCCTGCTTTACGCTGTTATCTTGTTGGGTGCTGGACGTTCACGTGTATCCTACAGGTATGAGAGGTGTATTGCAGGTATCATACGACTGAGAAGCCGCAACGCTATCACTTAACAATTGAAGAAACCTTTAGGAAGAACCTTGGTAATTTTGCACAGAACTTTAGGAATGACTTTTGACTCACACCTTTTTTAAAAGATTGTTAAAAAATTAAAGAGGTCATGTAGGGCTAAAGTCAGAACTACTATGCTAGAACATGTTCTCAAACTGAGAGGAGAGCGTCTGAGACCAGAGAGCATCTAAAACCTAAATCTCTTTCTTTAGGAATAAAAGGAACATATGTGAGTAATTTTCATATATTTAAAAATCTGCGACTTTTAGTAAATTCAAAGTCAGGATCTGTTTGAGACTGAGATTTTGCAAGGTTCAAATGAGAAGAGGGGCAGTAATAGCTAGGAAAAAGTTAGGAAACATGTATAACTACTTAGCCTGTAAGAGGCATCCTAAGGCCAGAATGACCAAACAGCATGTTATCAGCACAAAAAGAGAAATTGTTAGGACAGAATTTTAAAAATCTAGACATAAAATCAAATACAGGAGGAGGTTGACAATAACATGAAGGAAGCATTTCAAAACAGGGAAGGAAAAACAAAACCCCAGATATCTGAATGGGTCATCTAGAGTTAAACAAGAAATAATAAAGGTGACTCCCTCTCTCAAGCCAAACTAGGATACAGATGGTTAAATCAAAGACTTAAGTATAAAAGGATAAAGTTCTAAGAGTACTGGGGAAATAAAAACACATAGACCTACATATGCATACACAGAGATGGCAATCCTTTCTAAATTAGCAAATGAAACCTAAAAGCCACAAAAACTGATAGATTTGACAATATAAAAAATAAGTGTCCTGATAGTAAAAACACCATAAAGAAGCTAGATAACATATCTAGGAAAATATTTTTAATGTTAGGCAAAATATTCATTTCCTCAGAAACTCCTACAAGTGAGAAATACCAGAATCCAACAGATGAGGGGCAAAGAACATGAACAGTGACTCAAATACATAGTATCTTCATCCTTACTTAAGATATGGGTAAACTAAAACCCTAATTATCATTTTCATCTATCATATTGGCAAAGATCATTAAGTCTGACATATGGGAAAGCAGACATCTCCAGCCTACTGCCCAGAGGTTCTCTTGAAAGAATGCGAAACTTAAGTGGACATACTCTTTGATGAAGCAATTCTACATCAACTAAGACTACTTTGAACTCTATCCTCTGAGTATACTTGCAAGTATGCACAGAGATATTCACTGGAGAATTATTTAGAAAGCTGCAAGTTATTCATCAATAAAAGATGGTTAAATGATTTGATGCACACGCACAACAGTAAACAAACATGTGCAATTGTTCAAAAGAATAGTAGCTGCTCTATCTCCACGAATGTGAAACACTCAAGGCTCATGAATAGAAAAGTAAGTACAAGTATGTGTACAAGTTTGTGCTTATACAAGCACATAAAGTCTCTGCAAAGATATACCAGAAGTAACTCAGTCCACATGAAATGCCACCAATAGTTTGGGAGACAGAGGAAAAAAATTATTTTGTACCCTTTGAATTTAGAGCCTATATGGGAATAAGTTGATGAAAAATTAAAATATCAGAATGTAAATTCCAAAAATTTCCCTTAAGAGCCTTCCAGCCATTTCTACCTTATTTCATTTATTCAGTCCCCAGCCTATCCCCACTATTCTCATATCCATGGACCAAAAGTCACCCTTGGAAGCTCTCCTGCCAGCCCAGAAATATTGCTCTCCACAGGTGTGGCAAGGGGAGGGACTATTTTTCCTCTGGAAGGTCTTTCAGTCAAGTTTCTACTTATGTACTTTAAAAATATATCCATTGTTTATTTTTTCAAAAAACCAAAACTCAACATAATGAGTAAGCCATCTCATCTAACCCTTCTGTATTACCCAACAATGTCTTCCACTTTCACAGAACTGCTATTTTTACTTCAAACATATTATAACTCCCCTTGTGATATCGTTATGTGGATGACTGGCTACATTTGCAAGAACTTTAATAAATACAATAAATACTTTCCAGGAATCCAAGGTTCCGGTAGTTGGCATCTTCCTGCCAACTTCTCCCATACATGGTGAATAATGGAGTTAACTTTTGGGGGAAAAAAAGGAGTCCATATAAAAGCACAGTGTGGCATATGGACAACGGCCAAGTCATGGTGTAGTTTTTAATTCTCTCAATTTATTGTAATTTAGGTATAGAGAAGCTGAACCAATTGAAGAAATGAGTTTAGACCAGGTTCATATTAAAATCTTAATTCCTTAGAAAAACCCTAAAATAAGCACTTTGTATCTATTAAAGAGAAATTCTTCATTTCCACTCAACCCAATGATTTCAAATGATTTCAATACCACAAGTACATTTTCAAATTACTTAGACAAACACTGGTCTTATAAAAATAAATCCAAGTTATAAGGCCTTATATAATACACTGGAGTGCTTATATAATACACTGGAGCTTCGTTGAACAGTTTTAGTTTTAATTATCCACTTTAAATCAACATTGATATAATCCCCACATAAAAGAATCACATGAAACACACATTCCCCACTCCTGAAAGGCCCTGGTTAAAGGCCAATCCCAGTTAGCAGAATTGAACAAAATAGTGGCTAGAAAAACAAATTAATTCGAAGTCTAATAAATTCAGACCAGCATTTAAGATGAAGATTCGATGTGGTTTTGCACAGAAGTTGGCAAAGGTGGAAACCACACTTGTCATTGATTTGCAAATCCAGGTATTTCAGAGAAGCCAGAAAAACTAGCTTCCTACTCCG